GCGAATAATATGCGGCAAACTAACATTCTTTCCGTAACACACAAAATTGCATTGTACATGTCTGCGGCGGAATATTGCATGTAATTTTTCGTTAATTTTGATTTATGGTGTAGTTCAAGTAATTAAAGAGATCTCAATGTCGCAAATTAAACGATGACGCGAACGTTTCTTCAACGGAAGAGATACATCGAGCAGACATTTTTTTTTTAATTTGAGAGGCTTTCCTTGCCGATCTGCATAGAAAATTTTAACAAAAATGAGTATTGATATTTATCTTGATAAGTTCATTTTATTTTATCGAATGTCCAGAGTACGCGAAAGACTCGAAGCCGTTTTAACGGGAGGCTGCGTCCCTGTGACTATGCGTACGTATCGATTTCTCGAGTATCAAGCTACTCGGCAGCATTAGCATGGCAAAGAAGGCGCCAATTTGGTCCTGATAGCAGCCTGCCATAAGAAGCAGAAAAGGACACTATTCTATCGCTTGTTTTTGTTTCAAACTATCCCTTTTTGCTCCCTATTACAGCTCGCGATGTCTACCGCACTTTTTCCATTTAATATGTGGTGATATGTCAATGTACTTGTCATTCCAATAAGGGACTATTATATTCTCCGTCTAAACAAACAAACGTACGTTATCCGCGATAAGATGCGATTGAGTTCATAAAAAAAACGGCCGAGTCACGAGAGGCTCGCCGCTTACGCAATTAATTGACGCGAACTTCTGCTGAGATCTATAGATAGAATTCTTCCTTAATTAGTTCCCCTTCGCACATAGATTATAGAGAATTAAATCTTACAAATCATTAATCCGACTTGCCTGACAGTCGAGAGTCGGAGGGAACGGCCGTAATGTAATTAAATTATTATTAATTGGACATTTAGATAGAACTGCGATGGACAAATTGCCCGTCGTTTGATAAGGCAGATACACGGAGTTGCGCCACATCGCAATAATGAACATCATTGCCCGCGCCGCTCGTCGCCCGGGACTGTGTACGGAGATAAATTACGGCGGAATCCACAATGGAGTCTTTATCAGATTCGTCGTTCGGCGATGCCAACGTCGTTCGTTATTAGGAAACTCCACTTCGGCGGAGATTCCGTACGGTGAAATCGTCAATTCGCGCAGTTAAATAATCGCGATGTTGCAAATTGCACCGGATCGCAATAATGCACGACGCTGCGGGCGTTAAATTTCGTGGGATCACGCGAGAAGACTCGAGCTATATTCGCGAGGGAAATCACCGAGGTGCATCTATCAGACTTATCTGACGGTGGAGTACCTCTGAGGCGAGTACGCCTGACAATCTTATTTATGGCTCGCAATGAGAAACAGACAGCCACGGTCAACGAAACCATTCGATTGGAAACGATATCGTTTAATCAATCGCGTATTGTCCGGCGGAGGTAAAACATTTTCTACGAATAAAGAGGCTGGCGGGATAACCCGCTCGCGGCCGATAACATTTTGACCAGACTTAGCAAACGATCGCTGGAAATTAAAATTGTTGTAATTGACAGTTGAAATTTTACACAAAATACATGATTATAAAAAAAAATGAAAATTTTTACAGTACAAGTAATCTTTTAAAAAATAATTGTCTCTCTTTCAAAAAATATATATATATATAGAAAAATAAAATGATTCGCATATCTGTATTTTACTCATCTCAAAAATAATCAGTGAAAACTTTTAAAAGCCTCCTTTATGTCAAATCGATTCGGGAGCAGCGGGAGAAAGTCAGAAATTCCGTTACGTATCAAATCTATTTGATGTTTCGCGAAAATCTCTTATTTTATTTCACTTCTTCGCTAGTCGATAACCACCACGCCGTCGTATTTATACGTTACCGAAATCATTTCAACGAAGTTCTCTTCGAGATATACGAATACGAGAGAAGGGCCCGGGTACGACGTGACCCCGGAGAATGATCGCAGCCAAACGTAACTTCCGCCAGGCGCTATCTCGGCACTCCACACCTCTTTACTTTATTGGGCGTATATGCGTGGCGCGGCGCGCTGTGCCGAGAGCTCACGTGGGGTGATACACACGGTGGCACGTCAAGTAAGCGGATACGCGGATATGCGGGCTCTCTCGGGTGTGCACCGCGCGTACACGCGCGGCTACGAATGAAGGGTGTATTGGTGATCCGCACCCGGTAAAACCCCGCCCCTCTCGGCTCCGTATCGCGCGATAACTCGATTACCCGCGATAGCCGAGTATTTATTAGCCTGTGAGATTTCATTTTGATATCCGCCCTCTTCCCCTTCTTTCTTCTCCTATCTGTCTCTCGGTTTTCTGCTCTCGGGTTTCTCCTCTTCTCTCCTCTACTCTCCCCTCCGTCTTCCCCGAACGAACGAGTAAGCGACGGACACTCTCACAGAAAACACCGCTACTTTTCACGAAGACTTTCCAGAAGAGTTACTCGCGAGAACAGAAATGGACGGTATTTAACGAGGTAATGACTTTCAAATTTTTTTCTTTCTCTCAAACGCTGCTTCATTTCTATAGCAGACTGATCGTACTACATTCTTGTGATTCCCTGAGATTATAATTGACAATGTATCGCACGGAATCTAAAATAGCGTAGCAAGCTTTTAATATATCTTTTAATACAATTTAAAATGCGAAATGTCTTCATTTCCTCTCGCGGAATAACATTAATTTCACTCGGACATTATTACGAAATTTATCTCAGAGTGATTTCACATTTAAAAAGGTATTATTGAAATTAAATCGGTTTTATAAGAGGTCGCGCGCACGGAGAACGATCGATCGTGATATACGTATGTATCGAATTACGAGCGCGGATTATCGTTGGGTGAGGATCAATCGTTCTATCGGAGTGCACGATAATTATTTCTGCGTTAGCCATAATTATTGCCGGGATGGCAATTAATTCTTGCCGGAGCAGCAATTAATTTATTGTGGCTTGATTAATTACCGCATGGTAGGCGGGCGAGACAGTTCGTTAGTGCGGCTGATTGCCCTTTTGCTGCGCAATAAGGTCCATGGCTGGTAACGCCTCTTTTTGGAAAGAATTAGGTGACATTGAGATTCAGTTGATGCATATATATGGTAATCGATCGGACAAACGTAACTTGCAAGCCTACAATACGTACATTATTTTTTTTTATATAATGACGTCAGATGAAATCAAGTTCTATTAAAGACTGAACTGTTGGAGCTTATGTAATGTAACGTCTTTATAAAAAAATTTATTATAATACTATTATTTTTTTATTTGGTAAAATATATTGCAATGATGTATTGAAACGATAGAAAAATTATAAAAATTAAAATTTATATATTATCCTGATCGAATTGAATAAGGACGATTTTATCGATTTTTATATCAATACAGAATGCATATTTTAGTTGCTTCCTATTCATATTATGTCTAATATATGAAATGTTATTTACGGTTCCTTATTTTTCTTTTGTCGAACTAATGATCACTAAGATGTAATAATTTATCACTTTATTCCGTTATAAATGATTAAATCGAATAATGTTTTTCTTTTGTTGGATAAATTGGAATTTTTTCGATAATTAGCGCGTTTTTCTTCCATTATCGAAGGATCAAACGATAAATGACGGTTACGATTCATCTTGCGGATGAGATATTGCACGGAGTTTTCACTTTTCATCGAGGATACCCCATTTACGACGGCGATTGACGTTTTTGAATCCAAGATGAATGCGCTGTTTGAGAAACACGATTTGTTCCGTTCCGTGACCATTATAGCCCAAAACATCTGAAATTTTTCAAGATCAGTCAGGTAGATTTCTGCTTTCGTCACGCCGGTTTCTTTTTTGCGGGTGACTACATATGTCATTGTAAACGGCGTATACGTTTGTGGCTACATATATAATTTTTTCTAAAATTCTAATCAAAGGAATTTCCGATGAAACAAAATGACACGTAAATAAAAAGTTAATGTCAAATAATAAAATATAAATTAAATTAAAAATATAAATCAAAATGTAAAATGAAACAAAAAAATTCATAAAACGCTATAGACAGGAACTAATTTAAGATTATAGCATCCTTTATATCGAAAAGACATAATAAAATTTTAGATTAAATTTTTTGAACTTTTTTAAGATGTGAAATCGAGATCGAGGATGCTTTTAAATTATTTAATAATTCGTTAATATCATAAATCATCGTCATTACAGTAAAAGGCTAATATTAAAGTATTTACAAGAGATGAATGTCAGATATAAGACATGTCAGAAAGCAATCTTCTTCTATTATTTATTGGAAACCTTGATACACTCGGGCTTAATCATAAATATTATGAGTCATGGTACAACACTATATTTACAGATAATTAATCGAGCCTGATACTTAGTTCGATGCTCGAAGGACGGAGGGGGAGAGGCACAAGGATCTGGGATCAATGTGGAGCAATGAGAAATGGAGATATGCTGTAATGTTAAATTATATGAATGTGTAAAAAGGGGAACAACCAGGAGGGGAAATTAATATTTCACACACAGTGGCGAAAAATCGCGCGAGGTCGGCAAATTTCTGAATAAATATTAAAATGAGAACTGAGCTACGCGACTCTTTGGCGGAAAAGTCTCGTAAAATATTATTTAATCCTCGCTGGCCGTACACCCGATGCGATTCCGTATAATGTTTCTTGTATTCCATTCTTTTTTCTCCTATTATATAGAGTTCGCACCTTCGATATTATGTATATGTAAGTATATAAACCTAGATATATTTGTTTATTATATAATTGATATTTAGTTAAATCTTAGCACATTATTCACAAACATTCAGGAACAATGAGATTAAGTCGCAAATTAAATGGACAATTCAATCTTTTATTACAAAATCAATGTACTTCAGTTGACTGTATTCAGTTGATATGAAATTGTTCGATATCTAAAAATTATAAAATAATTTTGATTTTAAAACTATTTCAACAATACATCTTAATTAGATATTCATTTAATATGCGAAAAAAAAATTGTCGAAGAATGACAATTGCACAAATTTCTTTAATAAAATAAATTTTCTCATATATGAATTTTTTACTTTTTCAGTCGTAGCTTTGCATTTAATGCTTTGATTAATAATATTTCAATTCGAGATGTCTATTAAAATTATTTTCATTCAGTTCCTGAATATGGCGAGTAATGTAATAGTAAATATATAAGTACTGAATCTTATCAACGGTAGTTAAGCGTCGTTACTGACGTTACATTTTGATCCCTAAACGTGCCGTATGCAGGATCGAAATATGCATAAAAAAGAAGATATCATATCGATTGGATATGTTAAATTATCAATTGATGCGATAAAAATCGAAATCTTAGTCTTTTAATAACCGCACATTCGGCATCGAGATCGTGGCAATATCGACGACTTTTATCTCTATTTATCGATGAGCGATACTTCGCTACAAATACTTCACTCGCGACATATACATTAATTGACGAATGAGTATCAGTTAACACTTCCGTAAGTAAGAGAAGCGAGAGAATAGTAGCAAATATTATTTATATATATATATAAAAAAAGCATTCGCACACGAAGGATCGATGAGACCTATTATATCCACGGGAGCCTGAATTATGACTACTAACAAAATATGTAAGGCACTTCGCACTGTGTCAATCCCACGCTTATCTTAAGAAGTTAATACAGAGAGATAGAGAAGAGTAAAGTATGAAAAAAAAAAAACCCTTCTAAAGTTTTTTTTTACAAATCTGATATTCTTCCGATTCGGATAAAAAAGAATTAAATTTATTATCGTTGCGTCTTAATTGTATCTTTATCTCAATCAATGTCGACTTATCGGTAGTTCAAAGTTCAGTCATTTGTATCGATTGTTTTCTATCTTAACGACGCATTACATATTCCTATATTACCGGCGGAGCGGTTCCCTAGCAGCTCCATACGAAAACGTAGTACGAAACATAGTTGCGAGTACATCGCAACTGAATTGGGATGAAGCGAAAAGAAATAGGCCTCTGTATGCTAGAAACATTGCTCTAGTTGATTCGGCCTTTGTGCGTCATGTAGCTTATACTGTCCGACAATAATTTTTCTCGCGCCTGCCGTCGCATTCGCGAACACATGGCTAGTATCGTACCAGCCATAATACAGAAGAAACCACAGCCGAGCCCCACTATTGTACTGGCCACTGTAGATCTCAGACATACTCTGTCGGTCGTGGGCTCACTAAGTCCTATAAGAAAAAAGGAAGAAAAAAAATTCGAATAAATTGTAATCATTTCGATATTTTGAAGTTGAGATATTAAATGTTTCTCTATAAATTCTTAATGTTCATTAGAGAAAAAGAAAAATTACATTTCGGTCTAATTGACAATTATTGCGATAAGTTTATTGCTTTTTGTTCGTTTTTATTGAAACATTCTTCTTGTTGATGTTGTGATAAGTGAAAATTTTCAAAAATTTATATATATCTACAAGTTTTTTGTTGAAATAGAAACCATGTTAAAAAAGTAGAGTTAAACTCGAAATTAAATGATAAATGCACGACTTGATAAGCAATTGTTCTAATAGATAAATGTTATATTTAAATGTTATATATTGTATAGCTTTACCGCTGCGAGAGAAGGTTGTAGAATTCTGGAACAGTTCCGTGTCCGCCTCACCTTCCTGAAGAACTCGAAGAGATTGGAAGAGATTCACGTTCTCCGACAAACTAGTTGCCGGTGTCGATGGTTCACCGATTTCCGGCACCGATCGCTTTACCACATTTTTTGCATTTCTCCAGTGGCAAGGTTGGCTCTAAAGCAATAAAACATTCAAGTTAGAAATATGCGTGAAATTGAAACATTTCATATCTTTAAGCATGCAATTTTTGTCATATATATAGTTTTTTCAGAATTATCAGTTTTATTGCTAAAGTTAAGAAATACGTAATATTATTCCGATAAGTTAAATTCACAACAAAAGTTAAATATATAACGAATCTTATATATATTACTTTTTTATAATAATAAAATGACATTGTTAGCTGAAATATTGCTTGAAAAATAATTTTAGACTATTTAATCGAATTTGAATATACGTTTAACTAGATTAAATATTTAAATTTTGATTGAATTACTTAAATAGAAATGAAAAAACAATTAGTATCGTGTATTTCGTGAAAAATATTTGATTACCGGACATCTTCCGTGGCACATGCGAACATCGCATTCGATATACAGAGCCGGTGATCCCGTGAACCTGAAGGTCTTCATATAGGCAAATACTTGCGTCTCGAACAAACCAGACTCTGACCAGGAACCTCGAAACCGGCTGATCAATTTATCGTCCACCGGACATCCATATTGATCAATTAGCTGAATCCTTTTGTTTCCGCCATTATGCGCGTAGCAATCGTTTACAACGATATCAAAACCATCTACAAACAAAATTGATGTAAGTATTGAGATTTTTATTATCATCATAGGATTTGATATATAATAAATAATATGTAGTGAGTTATGATACAAAATTTAGCTACTCATACACTAATGTTAATTTGAACAAATTTAAAAAGAGATTTTAAATACGTAATGAATATTTAAGATTCAGAGAACCGTTCTTAAAGATTTATTATAATTATGTAAGAAACGATTAGGTCCCATGAAATATATCATCAGTAACGAAACCAATTAGTCAAAGGCGGCGAGAAGAAGATAAGATATAACATCGTCTACCTTCTGACATAGATTCGCGTGACATAAGTGATGTAGACGTAAATACAGAAGCCTGACTCGTTAAAGCACAGACATCTGTCGTTACATCGAAGCACACACATTTTCATATCTCCTCGCCAACGTTTCCGCATCTTTCGCAAATTACCGAGCTCGAACTAGCCGACTGACAAAGTCTGCCGTTCATCTTATACCGTTATCGCTGTCGAATGATACCTTGGCGGAATCAGACGTCGTATGATTAAGCTGGGCGTCGGGAAGAAAGAGATACACGAAAATGCGTGCTGTGAATGATTTGCAAGAACGGCTTGCTTCAATATTACGAACTGTTTGTCTTGGACTCATTTCTGAATATATAATTGTAATATCAACTTTATTAACATTTTATATATAAACAAAAATATTAAATTTGCTGTAAAAATAGTTAAATTTTTAAAAACTAACTTTTAAGTAAACTAATAAAAATTAAGTAACAATTAAAAAAATAAGTGTGTGTGTGTGTGTGTGTGTGTGTGTGTAGTATAATACTATAA